TTAATATCAAAGTAATAAAAGCAAAGAAATAAAAAAATTTAAACTAAAAAGTATTTGTAAAGAAGAAAAAAATGCTTTCTGAAAAGTATTAAGTCTCAGTTACAAAACATATAATAATTGAGAAATAATTGGCCACCCGAAAATATTAAAAAAAGAATAAGTGTGAATGTCTTCTTTAAAATAATAAAAATTATTTTCGAGTTCCCAAAGGCTTTTGTGCCAAAATGCATAATTTTTCGCCAATTTTTCATTTATTTAGCCTGTTTATTTGCACATTTAAAAGGAAATAAATAAATATACCTAGACAATGCTTTCTTTCAGAAATTAAACGAGAAAATAAATAAAAGGCAAAATGATCTAATTATGTAAGGAATATTTAAATAAATAAATTTGTTTGTTTGTATTTAATATTTCTTTTTAATTTTTTGTCTATTAAGTTGGAAAGTTTACATATCTAATTCTCAATCATTTAAAGTTAATGTTTTATTAGAGAATGTTTTATTAGAGAAATTGAGGTAAAAAACTTTGTCAAAATTATTTTATTTATTATATCCTATGATTAAGGGTCGAGTCGGGCATCCAATTTTGGCCCGAAAAAGACTCGGTCGGGCCGGCCCGATAAAAATGACTCGAACGTCGGCCCGACTCGAAAACGGCAACCCTATCTATGATGTTATTAAGCATAATCAATGCTTTAAACAGATTAAAATAATTCAATTCAATTCAATTCAATTTATACGCATAAAACGTGACATTCAGATAAAATAAAGTAAAGTAAACGTGACAATAATTTAAATTTAAATCACTAAAGGTCTGGAGACATTTGAATGGAATGTGGCTTTGATAAAATATTGTTTAGGTTAATATTGTTTAGGAGCTTTGGAAACAATTCGATTGACGATTTTTGTAATTCTGTTGGGAGTTTTCTGTAAATGTTTGGGATGTCTATAAAGAATGAGTTTTTCCGAATGGTGCTTGAACAAAAGGGTATAAATAAATTATGCGGATTTCCTCTAGTAGTGGTAGGGAGAATGCTAAATGAATTATCATGTTTTAATTTAATTTTACCTAAAATAATATTATGGAAAAGGATAAGGTTTGATTTTAGACGTCTATGCGATAGAGATTCAAGTTTGAATAGGTCGAGAAGTTCTTTATAATCAGGTAATGTTGGACTGTTATTTTGTTTCCTAGAGCGTAAGTATATTATTTTTAAGAATTTATGTTGAACATTTTCTAGAGCGTTTATGTCTTTATTTAGATAAGGGTTAATTATAGGGGATCCAAATTCGAGGATAGGTAAGACATATATTTTGAATAGAGTAATTAGGAATTGGGTGTTATTAGTTTTAAGAGATCTTATAAGAGTATAATAAATTCTGGTTGCTTTATTTGTTGCAATTTTAATGTGAGAATCCCATTTTAGGTTGGATGTAAAATAAATGCCAAGATCACGGATATGTTCATTGGGTGGAATGATTGGTATATTTGTGTTTTGTAGAGAATATTGGTGGAAGGGATTTTTAGTTCCTATGTGGAATGAACTACATTTGCTGATCGCGATTTTAAGGCCGTTTATTTCGCAGTATTTTGAGAATGTTTGGATAAATGTTTGGAGTGGAGAATAGTGGTTTTTATTTGAAAAATCAAAGCAGGTATAGGCCTTTAAATCGTCAGCAAATAATTTGGGTGTAACATTATCTGTTTTACAGAAATCTATTAGATCAAATATATATGAGATGAATAAAATTGGGCCAAGGATGGATCCTTGAGGAACTCCACTTGTTATGGGATATTCATTAGAGTTATTAGATTCGACAAGAACAGTAAAAGTTCGATTTAACAGATAATCCTCAATCCAATTTAGTAAAGTGCTAGTGATACCTAGATGATGAAGTTTTTTCAGAAGGCGATCGTGGGGAACAGTATCAAAAGCTTTTGCCAGGTCAAAGAATATAACGTCAACACATTTCTTATTTTCTATAGCTAATGTGTAGTCGTTATAGGTTTCTAGGAGTTGAGTTATAACTGAGTGGTTTTTACGGAAACCATGTTGGCAGGTGGGAAGGTAATTGTTAGTTTCAAGAAATGAAGTTAATTTATTAGAGATAATCCGTTCTAAAATTTTAGAGGTTGGGCATAGGAGAGAGATAGGTCGGAAATCCTTGGGTTCATTTGGGTTATTATTTTTGGGAATTGGTCGGATTATTGACTTTTTCCAAATAGTTGGAATTTTACTTGTCATGATTGACATATTAAATATAATTGTTAATGGAATGGTTAATGAAGTTGCGGTGTTTTTTAAGAAAATGTTGGGAATTCCGTCCGGAGATATGTTATTAACATTGTCAAGTTTGGTCATAATGCTATAGATTTCCTCTGGATTGATATCAATAAAAGATAAAGTATTATTGTTAAAAGTTTTTATGTCAGAGGAGTCAAAGTTAGAAGAGTTAAAAACAGATTGGAATTGTTTGGCGAGACATTCGGCTTTATCTTTGGCTAAAATGGTAAATTGATTGTTAATGTTGAAGATTGGGATTTTGGTTTTTTTGGATTTAAGGAAGGCGCCTATATACTGGAATCTAGATCGGGAATCATTGAATTTTGAGATTTCTCTATTTTTAAAGAAACGAGAAATTTCTTTATCGATTTTTTGTTGAGTGAGAATGTATTTTTCACGGATAGCAGGTTTATTAATATTTTTCCATAAAAGGTTTTTATATGAGATCATTTTTTGAATATGTTTAGGGAATTTAGCAAAATCTTTATTGATCGTTTTTAATGGTATAAAATTTTGGATTATTTGATGAATGATTTCTAAAAATAGGGTATATTGAGAATCTACATTGGTACAATTTATAAACAAAGAATTCCAGTTTAAGCCGATTAGAATATTGTTAATTTGATTGTAATCGGCATTGTGGAAGTCATAAATGAATTCTGGTTCTTTTGGAAAACAATTGAAATTTAAGTTAAATTCAATGGTGTTATGGTCAGAATTTTTGAATGGGGCATTAATGGTAATATTTTTGGTAACGCGAGAGGTGGAAGAGGAGAAAAGTAGATCAAGATAATTGTTTTGTCTAGTTGGGGAAGAGATTTCTTGAATTAGATTAAAGTTTTCTACGAATTGAATAAATAATTTTTCAGACGGTGATTTGTGATTGAGAGCTAGCGGTATATTATTCTTCCAGATTAGATTGGGGAAATTAAAATCACCTACAATTATGTAGTTATGATTAATAGATATTAGGTAACTTAAGGTCTCAAGAAATTCTTGGAAGTCATTTAAATTTTCGTTTGTTGTGGGACGGTAAACTGTTATTATTCTAAATTTGTCAAATTTTGGGGAATAAATGTCTATGGCTACAACATCGGAATTTTTATTTTTAGGAGTTTTAACGGGAGAGAAAGGAACTATATTATCTACTAAAATACATGCACCACCGCCCCTAGAACCTCTATCGCATCTAACAATGGAATAGGATGTACTATGTAAGATTTGGGAATTATCGATTTTTTTGTTCAACCACGATTCGGAAACACAAATTATTTTAAAGGATTTAGAAATTAAAAGTAATCTTAAGGCATCTAATTTGTTAACTAAGCTCCGGCTATTAAAATATAGACATTTATAAAAAGGGGAATTCTTTAAAAAATTTTTTAAAACCTTGAATCTTGGACGACCACTTAGTGGTTTTTTGTTCTTTCAGTCACATTGGCACTCATTCTTTTATTGTATTCATCTCGCTTCTTAGTACGTTCAATTTTCTCAGCTTCCAATTGTTCACGAGTTAGACTTGGCCTAATCAATAAACGAGACCATTTAGCTTCTTTTTTCATTTCCACTCTGTGACGTTTCCATTCAGCAAGTGTAATTCGCTGAAACTTTGAAGCACCAAAAACAATTTTAAGTAAACGACAACCTTTAGCAGTTGGGTCATACTTACCCATTCTGTATGAAACGAATGGGCTCTCAACCCCCAACAAGTTGAGTACATCTTCGATTGCAGCTTTATCTTCAACAACACGAATTGATGGTGTTGTTGATTTAGATTCTTCTAGACCAATAACAACAATAGAACGGTTGCGCTCTTGTTCACTTGCTGATGACTCATTGTTTTTAAAATTTGTTTCAATTGTTTCAATTTTTGATTCAATTGTTGTTAAAGCATTTTTAATTTGAAGAATTTCATTAGAAAAAGACGAAAATTTTGTGTTGTTATTATCGATTTTTGATTCTAAAGCAGCCAATTTTTCCATTATTTGTTGTAATTCAGATTTTGTGGGTGCCATTTCGGCGTATTTAAATCTTTTATCTGAAATCTTAAACTTGGGTAATTAAACCGACTTAAACTTGGGTAATAAACCTCATTCTAATTTCTTCTAATTTATTTATCTCATTCTAATTTATTTAGAATGAGATAATAAAATAAATATTTTTTCTATTTATTTGGATATTTATATTTAGATAACTGGCATTCATTTATTTATTTTTATTTTTCTTTATTTCTTTTAATTAATTTGTACTTCTTTTTATGGTTACTTAAAAATAATGCTTTATCTAAATAAAACATTAACTAAATGGTATTTATATATCAATGAACAAAACACAAAAAGTTGTTTGAACATTATTCATGAAAAATAATTAAATATTAATATGCTAATTAAATTGCAAATTAAATAAAAGATAAATACTGCTTCGAAAATTAAAAAAAGCATTTAATTTAGGCTTTAAAGATATTATTTTAAGTTTGAACACATATGATTAGAATGTAACTTTAAGCTCATTGTAACTTTTAGCCTTTTTAAAGCTATGTTTAAAACGCTTTCGCACTCAATTCATTATTCTACTATCTCAATCCCAATAGCTCATATTAAATGAAATACTAACTAAAAAATAATTAGAACACTTTTCCGAATTAGAAAATTTTATTTTCATGTTTAATTAAAATTTAATGAAACACTTATCACAATTAAACGAATTTATTTTTCCTTTATTTTCCGTAACCTCCATAACCGCCACCATATCCCCCATATCCTGAATACATTTGAGGACCATATCCACCATAATTACCGCCATAGTTTCCATAACCACCGTAGCTTCCATAAGAAGGCACTTTAAAAAAATAATAAAAAGTTTTTAAAATATTTAAAAATTAATTTAGAAAATTTAACTAAAACATACTCATCACTTTTTTCATCATCATTGGCGCTCCATACCCTCCTCCATAGCTTCCATACCCTCCATATCCGCCCATCCCACCCATTCCACCGCCCCATCCATCACCAAATCCCAAACCTTCACAATTGTTTAGCAAATTAAAAATAAATAAAAAAGTAAAGGAAAAGAAGGTAAGGAACATTTTTAAAGAAAAATTAAGTAAATTTTTTATTTTTAGGAATTATTTATTTTTGAAAAATATATTTGAATTTTTTAAATTTATTTTGTATTTATATACCTTTATAGCAAACCTAAAGCAATTATTGTTGTATTTAAAAGAGGCTTGGCCCAAACCAAAAAAATACAAGAAATTGCACTCGTCCAAAGGAAAATTCACGTCGCGCAATTGAAAAATTGAAAAGTAATTGTGTGTTGTTGCTTTCTCAAATCATAACTTTCTTTTGTTATTTTTTGCTTTTGGGTTTTTAGGTTTATTTTTTTGTAAACTTATTAAAACTCTCAGCAGCAAAATTTTATAAAAAAACTTTCACTGATCGGCATAACTCGAATTAAAAATAAAAATAAATTTATTTATTTATTACAATGTAAAATAATTGACACAAAATTATTTAAAAATTATTTTAATTGTGAAGCAAAAAATGTAAAAAGAAAACACAGAAAATCGAAATTTGTTGTTTGATGTCTGCGGGAAATTAAAAAAATTGAAAAAAATATATTTAGTATTTTTGTTACACTTCCAGACAATAAATTATTTAAAAAATAAAATTGTAAGGAATTCTTGTTTTTGTTTAAAGTAATAATCATCTAAGTGAATTGTTTTTGTAAGAAAATTTCTAAAATTTTTATTTTAGGAATTAAATAAATTTATTTATATCTTTTCCAAGTAAATTGTGATGTTTTTAAAACTTCCAATGAATGTACTTTGTTTTGGAAATTAATTTTAATTAATAAAATAATAAATTCTTTAATAGTATACATATATGGCACCATTCTTTTATGAAAAGAAAAAAAATTTAAGGAATACCCCAATTACAAAGACAATTTAAATAAATTTATTCTTCTCATTAAATAAATATTTTGATAAGAAAATAAAAAGAAAAAAGGTCATAAGTTTGTCTATAAATATTTATAATTATATTGGAATATTTCTACAAAAAATATTTTAAAAATCATTTATAATAATTTTAAAAACAAAGATTTTTGATAATTTTATAATTCTGCAGCCACACTGGTAAATATTTTAACTAATTAAATATTTTTAATTTAAATACTTTTTAAAGAATCCCTTTTAAAAAAGGAATGTTGATAAGATATAAAAAGTGTTATTTTATGTTTCATTCTCTAAAGAATATTTCTTATCTATATATAATTATTCTTATCAACAATAATTACCAAAATATTTTTTTGAATTTATTTCTTCATTTATTCTTCAATCATTAAATTTATAAATAAATTATTTTAAGAAATAATCCAATAAATAAATTAAAATGTTAATTAAATATTATTTTATAGGGATATTTATCCTTCAAATTGGTAAGCAATATTTACTTATAAATTTTTTGCTGGATAAACTTTTATCAATTTAAATTAATAAAAATAATTTATATATTTAAAATAATAATTTTAAAATTTTAATAATTTCTTTTATTTTTCTCAAAGTTAAAGCCCTATTTTTTATTTGTAATCTTTCGTAATAAGATCCTTACTCACACATTATTTTTTTAATCTTTCTTTTTTTAGTTACTTTAATAAATTCTGAAAGACTTCCTTTCTGGCAAAGGGCGAGAGACCAGATTTTGAATAAAGTACAAAATACAAATTTAGAAGATTTCAAGTTCAATGACTTATTTGTAAAAATTTTAATGATCAATAATATTTTTTTAAATTTTTGGTAAAAAAAGAAAGAATATTTTTTAAATCAAAGTCTTTTAAATTTAAAAATGTCAGAATAAATTTAATTTAAATAAATTAATTAAAGGATTTATCTGAAGAAAAACAGGAAATTCTGCAGGAGGAAAAAGAAGGATATGATACAGATTATACATACAAAAGTATTTGTTTTATTGACGGAAAACCAATGGTTGTGAATAATTTGGATTGTAGATATCAAGGCAAATCTGTAAAAAAATAATTCCAAATTTTGTTAAATTTTAAGTTGCTTTGGGGCGTTTTCGTAATGCAATAAATATATCTGGATGGTCTTATTTAGAGGTTAAATTATTTGATAAAAAATTTTTGTTTATTTTAAAATTTTTATGACTAATAATATTAACTTTAAGATTGAAACGAAAGGTGAATATGATCCAGGATTTCAAGCATATGCTGCTGGATATATTGAAGGTATCGGCATAATGATATTAAATATATTTAAAAAACGCTGCTCTTCAATTCCTGTATCAAATTTTGAATAAACCCCCTATTACATTAACAATTGAATTAATCGGAGACTCGTGATCTTAGTTGTATTTCAATACATTATACTTGGATTCTAGTCTTTAGACAATTTTGAATTTCATATATTAAACCTTAAGTATTTCTAGAACAAAATTCTTTGCCAATTTTACATTTTTTCATACATATCTCGATTGTGTCGTAAATTCTATCCTCGAATTTATGACAATTTTTAATATTTTTATTAAAAACAGGAGTCTTAACTCAACGGGTGTTACATTTACACATCCAAAATACTGTGAAAGATTACTGCAAAGGATATCAAAATTATTGCAAAAAATTGATGATTTTTCTTTATGAAAATATGCAATATGTTAAGAAGAAAATAGATTCAGCTGCAAAAGACAATCCTTATTGGCAAGCGGTAATTTAATTTTAAAAAGGCGAAAAAAAAATATTTTTTTAGGTTAAAATGGCCTATATGCAATTAACAGGTATATGGCACGGCTATTCTTCATCAAAATTTAATCCCTCTATTCAATACGAAGCACATTTTGTTATGTTGGTAAGTTATTTACTTAAATAATATTTTATTAAGAATCTCAGAAATTCGCTAATTTACATATTTAACAGTTAAATTCAAATGGAGACTTTTATGATTTGGAATCCAAATTAAACAAAACAAAAGATCCAGCTGATGATATAACTGGTGGAAGGTGTTCAGGATTAATTAAGGTGAAATTTTTTTAGATTTCTAAATTTATATATATTTTTTAATCATAATTTTATCTTTATACTTTTTACAAAAAAATATTTTAAATCATTTGAAATTGTGTGATTTTTAGTGATAATACTTAATATGCAAGGATACATAGGATGTCGGTTCTGGACCAAACCGAAGAACCAAAATTTTTCGGTTTCTGATATCCTAGGAATTTTCAGGAACCGGCAACCCTAATATACAAGGAATTTCTCATAAATCTAGTAAAAGGAATGGAAACATTTTTTAATTCATAGAAAGATGGATTTTTGTTAAGTAAATCCATTAAAATAATAATTAAAAGCTTATAATCTTAAATTTTCGCTCATAAACTCTCAAATTTTGGTAGGAACGAGAGTTGTGTGGATTAATTTTTAAGAATTCTCCCTACCACTATAAATCCTAATTTAAATAAATATTAATTATAACTTAATATTTATTAACTTTTAAAGATAATATTTATTTACGTATTTATTTAAAACCAGATTATCTTTTTAGGTGGCCCCTAATAATGCTGATTTGTTTATATCACAAGGTTAAATTTATTTTTAATCCTAAATAGTAGATAAGGATTCATTTTGAATAAATTAAAGAATATTTTCTAAAAAAATTTCCTTATCATTTTTTAATTAGTTACAATGTCTGGATTTCAAAATATGCTTCGAATGCTTAAACTTTACAAATTTGGTGTTGGTTAGTTTGATTTAAACTGAAAATTAATTTTATTAATTATTTAGATTCAATTCTTTATCCTGGACATACAAGTACATTTGCTGGATATCCTGGAGTTATTTATTCATCTGACGATTTTGCCTTGACTAGTACAGGATTGGTAAAGAAATATTTAGTAAAATTATTTTTGAGTCTGTTTAGGCAGTAATAGAAACAACAGTAAAAGTTTGGAATATATCACTTTATGAAGCTACAAAAACACAAGGACAGGTAATTCTAATTATTAAAGGACAATTAATTAATATAATTTTGAAGATACTTTGTTGGGTTCGAGCTGTAGTAGCAAATCTATTATCACGAACACCTCGCGAATGGTGCCAAATTTTTAAACGTTACAATTCTGGCACTTATAATAATCAATGGGGCATTTTGGACTACAAACGATTTACTCCAGAAAAGCCATTACCTGATTCTGGACTTTTTTATGTTTTGGAACAAATGCCGTAAGTTAAAATTTATATGTATTTATTTCGAATAGAAAATTGTGAAATTAATATTAAGGTCTTATTCTGTACAATTCCTTTACTTTTCACTTTTAGACAATTAAATCGAAATGAAAAAGTCATAGGAATTTCAGAAATAGGGAAATTTTTGTTAATTTTGTTTAAAGGTTGTAAGATGGTATTTTATTATATTTAAACAAAAACTGTCGAAAACGAACTTTTATCAATCAAAACGTGACTAACGGTACTGAAACACATTTTGAAAAAATATTCTGAAATCGTAATCTCAAAATTTTATAAATAGTAAATTCAGCTCTGTTTTTTTTTGCTTGGGCGAAGGATAATTTAAATCTTAGGGCAATTAGCCACTAGTCATGTTTTTACCGTGAAATATCTTAATAACTCTCATGTTTTTCGTTCTAAAATCTCTTCACATTCTATAACTTCCTGTTAGACTATGGACCTTTGTTTATCCTTATTGGGCCTTAAAATAAGTGGTTATATATTTCAACAAGTTATTACAGTATTGGTCACTTATATTAATTATTATTTAATGGTCAATAAGAGGTATGGTAAGGGAGAGAGGGGAGAATAAAAAATTAAATAAAGTACATATTCTTTTAATCTTGTAATTTTAATAAAATTGTTTACAAAAATGACTAAAATAAATATTTTTTAAATTACTCACAGTAATCGAATTGATTTCTTCAGTTTTTAAAAATTAAAGAAATCTTCTAATCAAAATATTAATTTCAGCGGCCATGTCTATTATCAGGATCTGAGTTTATATTTAAAAGAGAAGACATACTTTGCAAGCTATAACATTCCATTTTTCAAGAAAGCTAGCAGGATTAGTGGATTTAAAGCAAAAGGAAATGAATTTTACTGGTTTAACTGGACAGACTGTCCTCGGGCAAAAATTTTTGCTAGAGATCATAATAAAGTGATTGATTTAGATACTTTAACTAAATTAATGAGGTGAGCTAATTTCTATTTAATTTTTATTAAATTAATAAATTGTAATTACTTATTTAAGATATAATGACTATAAACATGATGAATTTAGTCGGTGTAAATGTTCTCCGCCCTATACAGCAGAAGCAGGTCCGATTTATTATTTATCACACAAAAAATAAAATTCTAAATTTAGCAATTTCATCTCGTGGTGATTTAAATGAGCCAAACGGCACTTATCCACTTCCAGGCATGGGACATGTCAACCACGGGGCATTGGATTATAAAGTAGATATTTAATTAATTAAGAAAATATATTTTTAATTAATTAGGGAACTAATTATGAATTAGCAAAACAACTACGTTTTCGTGCTTGGAGTGGTCCCACATATGGAAATGTTCCTGTATTTGATTGGAGAACGAGTCTTTTGGTAAATAAATAATTGAAAAGATTTAAAAAATTCTCATAGATTTTTCCTATAAAATTATCTCATAAATCAATGCAAAATTCAGTAATGAAATCTGTTAACTATTTCCTTTAAAAAATAATTAGGTTAGGTAAATAAATTCCATTCTATTAAATTTTTAAATAATAATTATTTTTTAAATAAATTTCTAGGCTCCTAAAGTCAAACATTTTGGACATCCAGATCGTTGGGATTTTAAACCAGTTGATTATCGATGGGAGACGCAACTCAATTGATTTAAACTAATAATAAAATATTTGTAATTTTAATTTTTTTTTGAATAAAAAATATTTTTTAGACCTTTGCAAATTTTTTTAAATTGCAAATTTCAATTATTAGGAAGTTTTGCTAAAGATCATAATTTTCTAACTTAGCCTTTTGTTTCTCATGTTTTATTACATTGAGCCTAATTTTATTCAGAAATTTATTTTAACATCAATATGAATTATTAATTTAATTATCCATTTATTTCATATTTCTAGAAGTAAATGCGAAAAAGTTCAAAACAACTGTTGTTAATTAATATTTATAGTAGAGACCGGAATAGGAGTAGTATGAGAATTGAAATCGGTTATTTTCAAAATCCGATTCTCCATAACCTTGATCTCGGTTCAGTCTCTAATTTAAGTACCTTAAACGAAATATTTAAATCAAATTTCTTTTTCAATGAGTCATTAAGTTAATGTACTGATAAATTTATTTATATTAAAAGTGCCCTCGGATATGAATTCTCAGGGGCAGAATTACTGAGAATATTTCAGAAGAAAAAGTTAAAAACACAACTTTAAAAAAGTAAAATTAAAAAGTAATCAGATATGTATTTACAAGGTCAGTGGAATCGGATGTCCTCTCCAAAAAACAATATAAATTAAACTATGGACATCTTCGGGTAAAGTATATCAAGCTTAATTTATATAAAAACATAATTTTAAAATTATTTTTTTATTTTCAATTATCAAAAAAATATTGTGAATTCAATCCTGTATTAACAATTAAAGTGCCGGAAAAAACAAATTTTATTAAAATTTATGTCCATTTAAAGGCCACTTAAAAATCGGTTTTAAGGCTTCTAAGGATTCGATGAATTAGTCTGTCCCACTTTTTTATTCCGGCAGTGTAATTTTAATTCGTTTTTATAAAAAAAGATGAAAAAATAATTATTTTTAATAAAAAATATTTTGGGAAAACAATTTCAGCATTCATTGTTATATGGATCCAAGAAACGATCGTTTTTGCATGCTGTGCCTCCATTTATTCTTACACATTTGCCTGGATATTCAATTACCTTAAATTTAAAAATGAATAATAATTGGCTTAAAAACTTCCATTGGCTTAAAACCCAAAATTTTTAAATTCTAATTTAGGTGTTGTGTGCATAACAGACTAGCACACGGATACTGATTTTGGTATCCGTATCCGCCTATTTACGGCGGATACAGACGGATATCCGCAGGGATTTTTATAATATCTGTATCCATATCTCTATCCATGTGCAAGTCTGGTGTATAACATAATTGTATTGTGACACTTAGGTGAACCGAATCTTTAGGTCCTAATCCAAATTAATTATCAAAATTTAATTATTTACTTTATTAACACGTATTGTGCATTCATTATTTTCTTTATTTTCTTTTTCCTCCGGAACTTTGAGATCACGCTGTCGACGGACAGATGAAGCATTGCTTTCTTCGACCAAAACCTCATTTGTTTTGTGTTCATTAATTATAGCTAGCGATTCTTTAACTTTCTTAGCTTGAGCATTTGGGCAATAAATCAAAAATAAATTAAATTGAAAAATAAAAAATAAAAATGGTAGAAAAATATTTTTGTAGATTATTAGCATTTTAACTAATATTTGCGAAATTATTTAAATAATATTATGCTAAAAATAGGAAAATCTGAATTTAAATATTAAATTAGTATTTAAAAAAAAGATTATTAAATATTTTTTTAATTAAAAAAAATTTTTTATAATTAAAGTATAGTAAATTAAATTAATTTTGCGTGAAATAAAGCCTCTTCTAGAATTTTTTTAAATCGCTTTCTAAATGAGGGAAAAGCCGCCATTTAAGCAAATATTTATATTCTAAATTAAGAAGCTTAAATGCCTCCTTCTGTTTTGAAAATAAAAATGAGACAGCCCCTCTCAGACTTGTTTTGTTTGCAAAAAGAAGACTCCTCCCTTTTTTTAGGATTAAACACACTTATGTTAATATTTTTCCAAAAAAGGTACTTATGAATACATAATCTGATGATTGGTTAATTGTTTTAAGGGATTTTATATAAATATACCGTAAATGATAGTATAGAACCACTTTTTCGATCCACTCGTAGGGTGTGCTTTTACTAGGGAGTGTGCTTCAAATAGAGAGTGTGGTTATATTAGAGAATTTACGGTATGCTTAAGTAATTTAATTCAGAAAATGAAAAAAGAAAAATATGCATACAGTAAAAATATAGATGATCTCCGTGTCTTGAGTAAAGCTTGTGCATAATTTCTTGTGCACAAATTAAATTTTAATATTAAGTATTTAAAAAGACAGACTAGAACTTTGATAGGATTTCATTGTTTATATAAATTTTTAGATATTGGGAGGAACCTTACAGGTGGTCATCCGGAACAGCAACTTCCGAATGAATACTATTTATTAGTAAACATAGATATCTCTCAAAAATATTCAAAATAATTGTACTATACGGTTATTACATCGCATCCTTAAATTGTTTATGAACAAAGTAAGATGTTTTTAACTTACTTTTTCTATATAGGAAAAAATACTAAAACGGTTATTAATTTGAAAGTTTATATCCGCAACAATTAAAATATAGACGGACTTAGATACTAAAAATATACATTTTGTTAAGGATTAAGTGTATTCAGGTACGTAACAAACAAAAAAATTTAGAAAAAAAATGTATTTATATGTAAACCCTAAAAATAAATATTTAGTTAATAACAAGGAAGTTTTATTTATTTTATCTTTTAAATGATATATTTTTAACATTTTTAGACTATAAATAAATATTTGTAGTAGATGGATATACACCCAATGAAAATATTAAGCGTCGAAACGAATTTTTATGCGTCCAATCATATTTTTATAACTTAAATTTATGACAATGAGTACGCGATTTTGTGTGTTAAAACCTATGATTATTGCGCGTGTTGTCATACTCTGGGTAAGTAGACACGCAGGGTACTTATCCCCATAGATTAGACGCATAAAAATTTGATTAGACGCATAATGTTTTCGGAAAAATATATAAAAAATATGTTAAATAAATTTAATTTAGATAAATATTAAATAAAATAAAAAGACAATTCTAAAATTAAATAAGCAATTGGTTTTTAAATAAATATACATACAAACACTTCTTCCAACTTACTTATCTTTTAATGAATAAAGATTTTGTTAAAATATTTTCAGAATTTAAGGATTATTTAAATGGAAAAGTTTTACATATAAAGATAAGTTTCTAGAAATTAATTAAAGAGAAACTAAAATAATTAAAACGGTATAGAATTTTTAAATTAAATTTAGTATTTAATAAATACATAATGCGCATAATTATTTACGGTGTTCCCTGATATCAGAGGTGGGTCGGAATTCCGATTTCCGACTTCCGATTTCCGACGTTTTTTTCCTTCCGATTTCCGATTTCCGAAATTTTGGAAAAATTTCCGATTTCCGAGAATTTTTGAAGCATATTTCCGACTAGAGATTTTTCCAAAATTCTCAAAATTTTCGCCTGCGGCGCAAAAATTCGAAGAAATCTAACTTAAGGACCTCCAAAATTCTCAAAATTTTCGCCTGCGGCGCAAAAAATTGAAGATTTTTGGCTTAAGGCTCCCAAAAATCCCAAAATTTTTGCCTGCGGCGCTGTAAATGGAAGTTGAATAGTATATCGGAGGATTAGGTTAGATTAATGTGGACTTTGAGTTATATCGTGTGATTACGAGGGGTCATAGGCTCTATCAGTCCTCAATTTTAAACTCCAAATATCCCTATTAATTCTATAAATTCTCTGATATCCCGTCTAATCTACCAAATCCCACAATATCTCTTTTAATCTCTTCGAATTTGACTTTTGAGTTGCAAAAAGAACTTTACACACTCAAATTACACTTAAGAAGGCCCATAATTTACCACCTTACAATTTTAAATAAATTTCAGTTATGAAAATAAAAATTTTATTTCCGATTTCCGCCTTCCGATTTCCGATTTCCGGCGTTTTTTTCCTTCCGATTTCCGATTTCCGAAAAAAAATTTTGATTTCCGATTTCCGAGTTCCGACTTTTGAGCCATTTCCGATTTCCGACAGTTCCGATTTCCGACACCTCGGGCTGTTCCGACCCACCTCTGCCTGATATATATATTCAAGTTATTGAAAATAAGGATTAAAAAAATAAAACGTTCTCAAACACCAGGATTTGTAAGATATTCCTTCTTTCCTAAGGAATACAGATCGGTGGATTTGTAAAGATACTGAGGTATATAAGGGGATTCTGTTGGATTGAAAGGAGTAGTGGATAACTCACAATATTATTGTGGGCATTAAGGATTGGGACCTTCAAATACACCTATTTACCTCGATATCCTCTTTAACCCCTCTTCATGACTCGATATCATGCCCACATTCCTCTATAGTCCCCTTAATCCTCTGCATATCCAGATATACATTTAATCTACCCGAATCCTCTATATCTCTATCGAGGAAATGAATTCCACCAAATCTCTTTATATTGACACGATTGTGCTTGTGATTTTAATGGTGAGATTAAGCCAAAAATCTCGAAATTTTGAGAATTTCATAAGCTTAGGATAATTTTTTAATATAAGTAGAATAATTTCAATAAATTTTAGTTTTCAAAAAATTTTGACATCGAAATATAGCCACCTCTAGAATAGCCACCCTATAAGGGTCGATCGAAAAATAGCCCGAGGGATATTTCAGAGAAAATACTGTAATATTGTGTTTATGTATTACAATAACGAATGATTGCTTTCATTTTTGATTTCAAATTTATAGGATCCTTCTAACTACGATTATTATTCTAAATATCTTCTAAACTACTCAGAAATTCATACTGTAAACCAAAATCTTAATCCCTAAGATACTTTTAAAAAATAGAAGGAAAAACATTACATGATAAATTTTAAATATTATTTCTAAAATGCCAAAGTAAATGATGACTCAATTAAAAGTACTTACATTTTTCTATTTGGAATTTGCA